TAACTAGTTATAAAACTATTGGTTCTGTATCTCTCGATTCCGAATAATTAGGCAAATATGTGGTGGTGCACTTGATACGCTAGCGAAACTATCCATCAAAAGTAAAAAATTAAACTATAGTGACATAATCTAAGAATTTGAACTAAAGTAAAATTTTCATTTATCTCTAGGGAAAAATTTCTTTTATGGTTATTGATTTGATCTGTTTATTTGCATTTGTTGTGGTGGTTGTAGGTCTTATAGAGCTTTTGGGTCCTAGAGGTGTAAATAGATTTTCTATCTCTTCGAGTGTTTTGATGTCTATTTTTTGTGGATTTTCTATAGTTGTTTTTTATGGTTACACGTCCAAAAAATTAGCTTATTTTCTAAGACTTGGATTAATTAGGTTGAGGCTTATTGGGTGACTTTTTAACTGGTATATGGTCTTTGAATCATCTATATACAGAACAAACCCTTACACCACACAGGTTTTCTTTCCTACTACCATGTGCACCTAGAGCAAAATTTGAATATGTGGTTCAATTTAGGAGTTGAACTATGGACACATAATGTATTCTTTCCCATTATCATAATGTATTTTTTTTTAAGCTTTGAAGTTATAGGCAAAAAAAAAAAAAAAGAGTTTGCTTTGGACCCTGATACACTCCTTATCAACATTTTGCATGGACAAACTTGTTCTTGCATCTACTTGCATGCTGTTCTTATTCAATTTCTCTCTAACTAATGTTCTTATTCTTAGGTGGTCTAAGAATCCTTTTGTTTTTAGATCCTGTTTTTTCTCTCTTGGTGTTATATAGCTGATGCTAACTCATTGGTTATGAATGACGTCGCTACTTTGTGGCAAGGCTCTCTAATCATTCAATCTCTTTAATTGTGCTCTTTCATTGAACATAAATTAGCAAATTCTATTTCTCCCCGTTTAATGTAATGATTGCCTTCACATTCTATGGCCTTCTGTATTTCTATCAATAAGCCTATGTTTCTTCATTTGCCCCCTTATGACTTTTTTGTTGGACTTGTTACAAATTTGAATTGATTTTGTGTAATTGTGAATCTGGATGTTCTTTTAAGTGGCCACACACTTAGAGTTTACATTGAAGAGTTGCAATCATAATTGACCTTTAATTGAATGAGGGTTTCAAATATAATGGACAATTAATGGGTAAAAATTTGGATTGCTTTCGTGTTGCTTAATCTTATAATTCCTCTTGGCTTTGTCTTGGGGTTTGCTAGGTAAATCTTTTAAAGATATTTATAGAGAGTCGTTTCAAGTCCATCCAATATAGTCTTATTCCGTATTGAATTAGTTTACTATTTTCATGGAAATGTTTATATTTCAACTTACTCTTGATTTTCTTTGTATTTTATCAGATTTTGTTCCCTCCGTTTGGAATCATGAAGCATAAGTCTCTTAAGAACTATTAAATCGGTTCACAGGAAGACATGGAATAAACTAGAACACACTGTGTTGTATGAAAAATATTAAGTTTGAAATTATTACCTTAATTAATTTACTTCCAAGAGTTTGTTAAAATGCCGATACCAATTGCTTTCCATATTGGTCCTTTTGCAAATTTATTGATTGTGTCGGGTAAGTTGGCTACAAAGAGTTGGAAGTGCTAGTTTGCTTTTTTTCATATTTTTGTTAATTTGTTAGAGTTACTAATTTGAACTCGATTTTGTAACTAGGTTTGATTTGATGAGAATTTTATTTCTTAAGATTAATTCTAAATGATGAATTACATGACTTGAACTAATCTTTAACGTTAGCATGATATCATGCTTGTAGTTTCACTTATTGCAACTATTGGATTGGATGATAGATTGGTGAGAATGGAATGAGACTAAGTGATTTTTTTGGATTGGTGAGACTGGATTGAAAGAGTTAGTTTGGTAAAGTTTATGAGAATCAGTGTGGTTTGCAATGAATGAAATCTTATAACTTTCATGTATTTGCCATGATTTTTGACGAGCCCAGATTTAACTAGATCAAGCCCAATTAATGAGCTATGCCCAAATCAGCTATAAGGTGAGTTAAGTTTAATTCATGAATTCAACCAGGTCCAGAGTTCAAGGAGCCCAGAAAGATTAGAGCATGTGGAGAGTAATTATCGGGAAACTTACTCTCGAAGATTAAGACAACCTTTAATTGTACGTACCTTTTGTAACTCCCTGAAGATCTAGTACCTTTACTTTCATGTCACCGTCTAAACTAAGGCTATGTGTTTATAAATTGTCAGTTTTCTCTACATGAGATAACACCTCTCTACACACCCCACACATAACTTTTCTCTCTCCTAGCTATTGTATCCCTCTTGGGGTTAACTATTGCTCTTTCTCGTCACCTTATTTAAACAATAAAAGGTCCGCCAGCCACCGTTGCCATTTTTCGGAATGGAGTAGGTCATCTGAACTGAACCACTATATATCTGTGTGTTGACCCGATATTTACATTATTATTATTGATTGCTCAATTAATTGTCAATTAATTATACTTTATCACACACTTGATTGTTGATCTTGGATAAGATCGTTTTGTGCATCATCAGTTTGACACCATCTGTGAGAAGCAATTAAGTTTTCTACTACTTTACTACTTTATTTCAAATACATGGCGATCACAACCAGATTGATGAGTTAACAACCAGGGGGACAACAACCCAGCCTATCGGGAGGAGGCTCCGCCTCCACCCGCACCTGCGAAACCATCAATTGTGGCGACTCTCATGGTCGGGCAACAGCTTTTACAAGTCATGCAACTGTTAGTAAATTAGAACCAACAAATCATCCAATTGATGTTTGCCCCCGAGAGTCTACATTGTCACGGGAGTCCTAGTAGTCTACACCGCAAAGAGAGTCCTGGGAGTCTACACCGCCACGGGGCTTGGGAGTCTTCAAAAGTCTACATCGCCACGGGAGTCTACACCACCACGTGAGTCCCGGGAGTCTACCCCACTATAGGAATTTCAAAAGGAAGTATCACGCGCCCTTGCGAACACCTGCTCAGTGCATAATGCCTCCACCCACTGTGAGGCAAGCCCAAACACTATCCCGAGAAAGTCTGATGTCTCGGGGACAGCGCCACAAGCCTTGGGAGACCATACTCCGAGACTAGAGGCGCCCGACTCCTTTGTGCCTACTCCACGGGAGCCCTTGCTACCATCTACTATACCATGTTGAAGACTATATGTGGATGGGTCCTCCACCAGCGAGGACAACGCACGCAAGACTAGTGCTGATCAACTCCCATGACACTCCAATCAAGTACGTTGTTTCCTTCCACTTTACAACATCCAACAACCAAGTTGAATACGAGGCCCTCAAATTAGGTTTGAATCTTGCATCAGAGATCCAGGCCTTCTACCTGACAGCCTACAGTGACTCACAGCTAATAGTCTACCAGGTAAAGGAAGGGTTCCCCTTGGAGTCCGTACCTAGCGCCCCAATGCCCCTGTGCCTAAGCGCTCGTGCCAACCAACGCCCCAGCGCCCAACACTAGTGCCAAACAGCACCAACGCACCTGTCTATGTAGTGGCGTCTCCCAGATCGCTTGCAAGGTGTTGCCCAGACCACCTACTGCAAGTGTTGTCTAGACCGTTCAGCTCCAAGGTGTCGCCCACAATCTTTAGCATGCACACCAAAGCTTAGCACTTGCCAGCACCTAGTGCCCTAGCCTGTGTCGCCCATGGCCACTGCCCAATGGTGTTGCTTTCTACCTCCGGTTGTGGTGTCATTGAGTTGGCCCACAGTGTCTCCTCCTATCGCCCACATCTTTGGCGTCACCACACCTGTCCCTAGCACTCCTTGATGTCCATGCCTAGCGGTAGCTAGTGCCCTCGATGTCTGTGCCTAGCGCCCCTTGATGTCTATGCTCAGTGACGCCCAACGCCCCTTGGCATTCGTGCCCAGCGGCACCCAACTCCCTTGTTGTCCTCACCCAATGATGTCCGCGTCTCAATCTCTAGGTTAGTGGCTCTCACGAGAGTCGCCAAAAACTTGTCGTTCTTAAAAAAATCCAGTATTGTTGATGTCAAAATTTGAATGACCTCCAAGTCAGGTTGTTGGGTTTCAATTACATGAAAAAGAAGTCGGAGATTAGAAGAGGGCTCCGAGGGTCGACTCTCTGATGCTTAAGTCAGTAAATGACTCAAATGTATGAAATATGAACTTCTTTTAGAAGTTATAATTGACATACCTAAAGCATAAATGGAACTCCATTTATAGGAGTTCCGACAGTTTGAATTGCGAAGGAATAATGATTGAAGATCTAGTCAATCATAAAAAGATAAGGATTAAATCCTTATCTTTATACGTTGGTTTGACATTATCCGTATGGTTAAATTTAGTTTATCCATGATATGTAGAATCTTATTCAAATTAGAACTCTTAACATGATAGGTTGAACTTGGACTAAATATTTTGGTCCATTTTTTCATCATCAAGTATAGACATATTAAATAAGTCTAATAAACACATTTGAATGTTCTATTATATTATCCATTGACATAAAAACTAAACAAAATTTCAATTTTTTTAGAAAAAATAGTAATCAATATAATATATCAATGAACTTAATTCAACACTCAATAACATACAATTATATTGTCTATTAGAATAAAACTAACAAACCAAACAATGAGTCAAACTGTAATGGACACAATTTTTATCTTTAATTGGGATAATTTGGTCGGTTAATAGATTTTGTTAGTTCTGCAACTAATAAGGGGTCTAAATATAATATTTTAAACTTGAGAGGTTTAAGTGTTACACATTTACAAACTTCAAGAGATTTTAGCGTAATTTACTAATGGATATACTAACGGACACTGACGGTAGAGATCTAAGTGTTACATGCTTACAAATCTCATAAAATTTATTTATAATACTTCAAATGCCAAAAGGTCTTAATGATTAAATGATGAATTTCAAAAATTTTGTTGTAATTTTTCTTATTATTTTTTAGATCACTGTCTAAACATATTTTATAATTGATTGTCTTTTAAAATTATTTTCAAAATCATAAAATCAAACAAGTTATAGGATACAAAAAAAATCAAAATACTCTTTTCTAATACTTTTCTACACTTTTTTGACAGCATATCCAAACAGGCACAAACTATTGGTGCTTTAAAATGACACTAAATGCAAGTGTAGACACAATCTTCAGCACCAACTTGATATCGTATTATATCTCAACAAAGTTCCAACCAATAACTGCTTTTAGCTTCTGTGAACATCACCAGCAGTCTGCAGTCACCTCGAACTGCATTACTCATCCAAACCGGTGCTGAAGGCTCATTCCGGTGGAGCTCCATCTGTGATGCACACAAATACCGTAAGGTACCCAAATTTATATGGTCCACTTGAGTTATGCAACTTAGCTTCAGTCTTCCGTCAGAATGCTCTGTTCAGTTAACGATGCACCAAGACAAATGAGCGATTACAGAAAGATGGTGCTTCGAAAAAGATCAACTCTTTCCATTTCAATTGGAAAAATTAACGCCAAGACTACAGTTTTCATCTACTTTCCTGACACAAATTCTTTCTCAAGTATACTGAACATGACCAAGAGGCGCTCTTGCAGATTTGAAAGAATGTTTTTCGTGATCCTTTTCTGATGTCTGGTGCTTTTCAGCCATGCAATTCCAAAATGTACTTGGACATTACATCCGATGGATCTTGAGGGCAGATTCTCAACTTGGTATCTCAGGTGAAGCTGCCAAGTATAACAGATTGGTCAGTTATTACAGAAGGGATTTAAGTTTGAGCCACGATAAAGGTGGAAGAACAGAATGTAAAATTGAAGAGTATTTGCAACAACTAGGGGTGGCAGTGTTCGTACATTGAAAAAGTCCCCAAGTGGAACCCCATGGAGAGTCATGACCTCTTCAATGAGCCAACCATTTCTATCAGAAAGCCGAGATTTTTGTTGAATGCTTGTCACCTCTCCTCTATAACGAGAAATACGTTTATCAAATTTGTAATAAAGTTGCCTCTGATATACATCAGCCTTTTCGGATTCCCAAGGACTCTGAGAATAATTCAAACAACCAACTCTTTCCATAACCCTACGGTCCATTTCACTCCCACTGAATAACTCCAGGAAGAAACTGGTCTGAAGTGCCCAACAAAATACAAATTGGATAATCAGTTATCAACATATGCATTTCAGATTGTGCAGAATTATTTTAACTCATAAATCCAAACAATCATGCAAGGGCTTTTCTAGCAATAAGCACTCATCCCTATCCACACACAGAGAGAGAGAGAGAGAGACTCACAGGAACAGAAATAACAGAAGAATAAGCCATAGACATCTTGACATCCTCAAGGTCCAGGAAGGATCCAGTCTCTTCCGTTTGGAGGCTTTTGGTTTCAGATTCTTCTTCTACTACTTGGAGGTTTTCGGCTACAGATTCTTCTTCAACAATCTGGAGGCTTTTAGCTTCAGATTCTTCGTCAACTATTTGTACCTTCTGCTCAGGACTCAGAGCTCTAGCCTTCCACAGTGCCATGATTGTCCTATTCAGCAGCAGGAATTACTCGATTAGTCATAATGAGATACAATGCAACTTTTCATCATCATTCCCCCTTTAACCATCCTAGAAAGCTAAGGCACTGAACCCTTGGTTCTTATTTCACCCTAACAAATGGCACTTACCCATATTTTCACCATTTTGAAATGATTTAAGCATACAAATTAATGGCACACAAGCATCAAAGTAAGGATATGTGAATGAGAGTAGGTGTTTTCGAGCAATACAAGAGAATCACAAGCCCAATATGAGACGGAGAGAACACAATGGACCACATGATCTACAACTGAATTGACTGGGTCCGACTTGCATCAGAATGTGATAAAAGCCACCATCTTATTGAACAAAAGTTGATACTACTGTACCAAGAAGTAGAAATGAATGTTCGTGTGAAGCAAGAAGTAAAATTGTTTAACGACAAGATGATCTAGGTCAAGAACAACAAAGATCAAAGTCCACAGGATGCTTAAGGACAAGAGACTGATCAGAAATACAATTACTGTATTTAATAGAGTAAATAAGAAAAACTAGGGAGATCAATTCAGGAGTCGGGAATTATCTAGCATCGGTAGAATTTCATAAATTGGGAATTGTTGGAGCACTACGAAAAAAATTGGGATGACCTCAGGATGACACCTAATCTTGTTAATGAAATTGGGAAAAAAGCGGGAAAGAATGCAAATGTATCCATTATGTCTACTGATTACTTTTGGCAAATACAAAAACTTTTCATCAAGAAGTCACACAATACTTTATCGAATATCATTGGAAAACTATATATAACCTGTACTATCAACTCTTGTCACCAATTAGCAATCTAAATGATAAAATACCAGGGATAAAGTACAAGGACACAGCTAGTTCAATAATTTTGGAACTAATTAGTTCAATAATTTTGGAACTAATTAGTTCAAAAAATTTGGAACTATTTTGGAAATTATTTGATACATTTGAGAAAAACTCAGAAGTAATGACAATTACTGAAATATGCTAAAAAGATTTAGGATTCATTCGCTTATGAAAATAGCAGGATATATTTGAGATTTTTTCAAGAACTTGAAGAATTTGTTACAATTAGAAAAACCACAAAAGCTAATAGAAGCGATAAGATTTCAGAATTACTTAAAAACAGTGATACTGTAAGTTGATATTACCTTTGTGCCACATTAAAGGACACAAAGGAGTGGAAATGAAACTTCAGCCTGCCTTCCTCATCCTGAGTCTTTGCCCCATGCCTTGCATCCAAGCCTTTGCCTGGCCGTAATGTCATCACAACAATCGGACTGCCCATTGATGACAATGTAGGAGGAACCACTTGAATGTCTTCTATGTCCTCCCATAGAAAGAAGAACTTCGTCTTGTGTCCAAAAAGATCAGCATGGAACCCAATTATTCTTGCTGACAGAAACAGACGACCCTGCAAAGGAAAATTATAAGTTTAAGACATAGAACTTTAAATTTTAAAACCCACATAAAGGAAGAGATAGCACCATGCATCATTTAATAACAAAATTGCAAGTGCTTATATTTAAATTCTGAGTTCACATTGAGTACAGTAAGAGACAGAAACAACACAATTTCAACGAACTTAATTTGAAATAGAGCAATGCTATTGGGACCTAATTTGCTGATCTAATTCACTATAGCCATTGGATTGAATATGGGCACCATCAAACATTGAAACTTGATGTTAATCCAACGGTTACAATGAAGCCAAATCATTAGGTCAGTAGATTAGGACAGATTTTTTGGTCCCAATAGCATTACTCTTTGAAATATTATGGGAGAAGATTGATTGCAAAAGGTACCTGGAGGGGCATTTTGCGTTTCAAGTGACAAGTAAAATCATTAATGAGAAATTCCTCTGGTGGAAGCCCAAAGAGTTTCTGAAATGCTGAATTTGTTTGAGGTGACCGCAATCTTATCTATAAAAAATTTTATTCAAAATATCAAGCAACTAACAGGAAAACAGAGTAAAAACCAGAAAATGTTATTCTTTTTTTTTTTTTTGGGAGGGAGAGGGAGAGGGAGGGGGAGGGGGAGAAGGGGGACTTGAACCCTTGATTTCAACAAGCAAAACCTTTATAAGACAAGGAGTACTGTTGGACCAAAGGCCCACCGGTATAAAATGTTATTCATTGGGACATTTAAGAGAAGAACAGTTGGCCAATTACCTTCTTTCCCACCTCTTTCTCCATCTTAGTCAAATAGTCTTTAACAACATTGCTACCTCTTGTATTGTTCAAGAAAATTCTTAAATGCAACTGAGATTGACATGCCTGAGCTAATTTCCCTTGAAGAGGAAGCCACACATCAGCTAAATCTGATATATTAGACTTTAGGAAGTTGATTTCAGCATGTCCAAGAGATGTAGCTTCATCAAAAGGCCCATCAAAATCATAAACTTCCACATCCAACACCGATGGAGGCTCATCCATTGCATCAAATTCAAATATTTCTGCAAAAAACCGAAATTCTGATTAATTTAATCAAACAAAGAATCAAACCATACTTAGAACCACACGTATATAAATCATGGTAAATATGGTTAACACTGTGCACAAGTTCACTCAAAATAATGAGGACTTTTGAATCTCCAAACAAAACATGGATAGTTTCAACTGCATGAAAAATAAAATATATTCACCATTCCACTGAGGATTAGATTTCTGGAATTTAATTGAGCTGGTTCTAGTCTTCCCATTGCAAGTAAACACCACATATGGATCAGAGAACCCGCTTGAATCAACAGCTGCTAAATTGCTTCCTTCAATCAAGGCAACAGTCAGCAACCAGCCATCCCCTTGTGCTTTGACTCCATGATCACTGCCTGAAATTAATTATGCAAAAGATATGAATCATACTCACACCCTCCCAAAAACAAAGAACATGTATTAATATCGAACGAAGGCAGACCAATATTTTATTTTGGTAGTTGAGCTGCAGCAGGGGGATTTAAAACCAATAGTCTATTAAAACGCATGCAGCTCTTGGTTACAAGCAAGCAAATAGAGAGGAAATAGAAGGAGCATTGCCCATCCAACAAAAATTTCCAAGTTCATCCAACTATGCCTGGATAACTGAAATACCATACAAAGAGACACCTCAGGCTCTTAGCTGGAGAGATGTTATACTTCGCAGGCTACTGCTCACTGTGACTAATTAATTGCATAAGACAGAAAGCTAACAATACCTTTTTGCACTCTGGCCTGCATGAAGCGTGATATTAACTCTAGCATCCGTTCCCCTTGAAGAACCAAAACTCCACACACAATCACTTCTCCAATTGAATCTGGCAAGTCTAGCCCAACGAACTCAAGTCCTTGAATCATGCTTGGCATGGCTAGCCAGATGTGCACAACTACATACAATCCCATAAAGATTGTTGAAATTACCGTGAAATTAGCAAAATACTGAACCGCCAGCTTCCAATCAGATTGGGGCTCCACCTGTAGAGATGCCAAAACCTGTTCCTTATCAGAACAAATGTCCTTCGTTTCAACTGGTTTCACATTCTGAGCTAATAAACTTGCGTAATGATCAAAGCTTTCCTTTAAACCTTGTCGGGCTCCTCCTTCTATCATGCCCTTGATCATAATATTTTGCAGGAAATTCATTCGCCATGATACTACCAATCGAGAAGACTGTTCGCCTGATGGCAATTCAGGCCCCGGAGTGATGCAGTAAAGCACTTCTACCCTAAAACTGTTCCCATATGGAGCATCCGGAGTGCTTGCGATTGCCAAAACTACAAAAACCTTCCCATCAGCTTTGATGTATGTTTGCTCCTCTGTTGTTTTCAAAGCCTTAATTAATTTTGTTGCAGCCTTCATATAACTAATCACTCTTTTCAGGCACTCACCACTGTTCTCAGATTTCCAAGTACCTATTTGCAGTTCTGTAGATCCTTGCAAATCTGCTAAAGATTTGAGATAATCTGAATCTGGCGAAAAGAGTAAGGAATTCATTTCAGGTGATGCAATCGCATACAATTGGTCGAGAAGTACTCCTCCAGGTAAATTGCTTGGTATTTCACTTCCTTGATCTCTCATCTCCATGCTTTTCATTAATGCTTCAAAATTGCTAGATGAAGGTTGCCCCTCAGATTTGTTCTCGTAAACTTGAGTATCGGCAATTTCAGGTAACTCTGACAAGTCAGGGCCTTTATCTAAGGCATTGGATAGCGTATCCCCATTTTTGTTGAAAATTTGAGCAATTCGACCAGCAAATGTTTGTATTTGTGACTTGTCCTCCTTAGAAGAAGCAACATCATCTAATCTCATTGGAGAAGGCGATCTCCTAGGGCCATTACAAGACCTTGATGGTGATTCAACTGTTGTATCTGCACACTTCCTCAATGGTGGTACAAGATCGCCAAGCGGTTGCAAGTCCATAAATGAATTGTTTTGCGTGAAACATATTGTGAGAAGAATTTCGCCTATCAGGAAATAGAAGCAAAATTGGAGTCCCAATTAGCATAGAACAGACTATTTGTAACACTTTTGGGCAGCAATCAGAGGTAGATATAATGAAAAGGAACATATTATACCATCCAACATATTATACCATCCAATTTTGGTATTGCAATTTGATCTCCAATACCAAAATTGCAGAAGTGACCCTTCTAATACGGAAATGCAACATATTATACCATCCAAAACCAATCAGAAAACTGCCATAGTAAGAAGTTAGTGCGAATAAACCTTTTAATCACTGGGATGTAGGCTAATTTGAGCATTTTGGGACTGTATACATAATTTTGTATGGATAACAAATGAAAAAGGAAATGAAATTCAAACATATAACGGAGGCAAATATTGATTAGCGTCACCAATAAATTCTATACCATAGTAAGCCAACCACTCAATCAATGACATGCAAGAAAAACAGAAACCAAATTGGTCAGTTTTTGTTTTTTCTTTTTTTTTTTTGAACATAACATGCATAGCTAACATACACAAAGAGTAGTTATCCAACATCTGAATTACACAGAGTGTAATACCCGAAGGTAAAATAGACCCCATAGTCTACCACCACCCATAAAGGGCCAACCCTTTGAGAGGATGGGAGGGAGTTTATTACCGCCTCTGGAGAGTTAGAAAGAGAATAGGTAAGTGAATGACATACCACAGTCCCTGGTCTTGGCCTTCTTGTTTTTGGGCTGCAAGGGGTACCAGGCAGTTCCGAGGGATTTGTCATTGGCATCGAATACCAGAGACATGGGAACTTTGATCTGGCCAACAAAATCATCATTGAAGTACTTATCTTCGTCCAAAACAGAGATAACAAGCTCTTCCTTCAAGTCCTCCACTCTAAAAGTAAATTCTTCACACCACGAAGGATTCAAGCATTTCTTCACCACTTTACTCCTGAACCTTTGCCTCCCCAGCTGTAATTTAACATATGGGTCACTAAACCCATTTAGATCCATAGCTGGTATATCTCTAGCTTCAATTACCCGTACTAACAGTTTCATATTTGAAGAAAAAAAAACTCAATTTGTCGCCAGCTCTTTAGAAGGCCAACAAATTGAGGGGAAACAATATATAAATAAAACAATCCACAATTATAAACAAAAGGAGTTGAATTGGATTTCCAACTTTCAGAGTGAACAATATTTAAAATAGCAAAAGTAGCTTAGAAAGGTGTATGCATAATCATGAAGTAAGATCGTAAATACGACAGCAATGGATTGAATGTACACATAAAAAACAATTAAGTTGCGGGATTAAGAAGGAAATCGTATCAATCATTAAGAATTGACTTTTGAAGAAGGGAAAAATGAGTTTCAAGTCAAATATAAATATAAAAAAAAAAAAACACAACAGAGGAAAAAGGTCACATAAAAATCTCAAAGATTGCTTTTTGGAGTTACAAAAATCTCCGATCTTGTGGAGAAAGGGAAACGAATACAAATCAGAACCGAAAGGCAGACAAAAATGCGAACTGAAGGAATGAAAAGGAAACAGGGGAAGGGGAACGAGAGAGAAGGAAACCAAAGGAATGCTGAGGAATTGGAGATGGATGATCAAGTTGAAAAGAAATCGTTGGAAAATTAACAGCCCCAGAAATTAAAGTTGAGGTTTATGGTTGGTTTTTTTAAGTTAGAAATAATATCACTTTCATTCAATTATGAAGCGACGGACAGAGTCCTGTCTGGCGTAGGGAGGTTGACTTTTCCACGCCCTCTTTCAATTGCAACTGCGCGTATGTATTTGGACTTATTGACTTTCATAAACAAAACAGACCCATGCCTCTTACATAATTTTTGGGAGAATTACAGTGAGACCCGTAAGGTTTGTTACTTATAATCGGTTTGGTACGAAACAAAATGGATGGATGGATGGAAAAAAGATAAAATCACCCGGAAATTGATATTTTTCTTTATTTGGTTGAAGAAAGAAAAGAGGAATGAAAGCCTATTCATCGTGCCCACCAAATTCAATCCCCTAAATTTAGGCGGAAAAGTGAACAAAGAGAGTGAACATAATGATTGCATTTATGAAATTTAACATATTATTTATTTTTTTATTTTATTTTTTATTTTAAATAAAATAATAAAAAATTTAATTATCTTATTTTTTCATCCTTCCTACCAAATAAGAATGAGGCAAAACATCTTTTTTTCCTCTGAGAAAGGAAAGTTCAATCTCTCTTATTTTCTATCATTTCTTCCAAACAAATTATTAATCACTCAAACTCTTTAAAATTTAAAATATTATATGGAGACCCATTAAATTTGTGCACCCGTAACATTTAGACTCCTGTCGTCAATGTCCATTAGTATATCTATTAATAAATTACACGCAAACCCACCTAAACTTTTTTGGCATGTAATATTTTGACCTCTTAAGTTTAAAATATTATATTTAAACAAAAAAATACTCCAATCAAAGATAGAATATCAAATATTTTAAAATTTACGACCAAAGTTTATGTTCTATTATGACATTTATTGAAATAAAATCAAAAATAAAAATTTATTTTTTTCTTAAAAAATTATAATTAATATACAATTACACTATCTATTAAAATTTAATTTAAACAACCAAATTAAACTACCAAATTATTCCAATTAAAGTTAGAAGATATTGTGTCTATTACAGTTTGACCCTTTATTTGTTTTTTAGTTTTATTTCAATAGATTGTATAATTACATACTAATTATGATTTTTAAGAAAGATTAAATTTTTATTTTTGATTTTATTTCAATAAATGACATAATAGAACATGAATTTTGGTTGTACAATTCTTGTTCTATTATGAATGACTTAGACCCCTTTTTTGAATTTTTAGTTTTATTCTTAATTATATACTAATTACAATTTTTTAAGAAAAAATTATATTCGCATTTTTTATTTTATTTCAATAATAAAACATGAATTTTAATTATAAAATTTAAAATATTTGGTATTCTATCTTTGATTAAAGTATTTTTGATCTAAGTATAACATTTTAAACTTGAGAAGTCTAAATATTATATGTCTATAAACTTTAGGGGCCTTGAGTGTAATTTATTAACGAATATAACATTGACAGCAGATGTCTAAATGTTACGCGTGTACAAATCTCAAGCGGTCTGTGTGTAATATTTCAAATGTCAAGACCTAAAAGGTTTTTTCACTTTTTTACTATCGAAGTCTCTAAACATTTGTAAGAAAGCAATGATATATGACCTAATTTGTGGTCTTAATTTGAGCATCTAGTGATGTGATTTTAATATAATTATTGAATTAGTTGTGAATTTTAATGTCAAATGAAGTCTATTACTAATTTAATAATTATATTAAATTAGGTCCCCAAATTATATCCAAATAGCATTTTTCTTATAAAATGAAATTCTAAAACTAAAAAGGAGAAAACACACACAGTCCTTCCTTCCTTCCTTCCTTCTTCCCAACTACATTCTAGTTGTAGCTAATTTCCACCATTCTTCTGTTTACACCTAAAAATAACAAGATTAGAGGGTAACACATTGAAATGATCCGACGATAGGACTCTTAGAATCCCAAGAAAATGAAAAAATGTGACATCATGAATTGTCAGTTGGAGACGGTTCCACGCACATTCAAGCATCTCGAGGGACAGGGTCATGATTACAATAATGGTCAAAAAAGAGAGGTCAACGATTTAAGGCCATTTCTATAAATAACAGAGGGTAGGCCATTGAAAAATGATCTCACGATCAAACACACAAACTCTTCACAGAGCCAACCTACCTTATACTTATTTCTTGTTTTCCGAGCAATTTTACTTTTCTAATAATCATCACTTCGGTGATCTTTTATTGCTTTCATTTAATGTTAAGTTCAATATTTGTTTCGTCTTTCAAATTCGAATTTGGTTTACCCACTACTTTGCATTCTCACTATTCTCTTTACGGTGTATTCCATTGCGTTTTTGTTTGAAAAATTGCTTAAATTTCTTGAACTATAAGACATGGAAAAGAACTCAAAAGTAGTCTTACACCTCGCTACAATCGCCTGAACAACTACGATTTTAGAACTTCATGTCGGTTCAAGTATGTAAAGTTGTACGTGTTTGAATTTTAAGTCCAATTAGACTTTGGCACTCCCGCAATTCAAAAATACGCCAAACATATTTTTTGGCACGTCCGGTGGGACCCTAAGAAATAATATGGCAAATACCTGAGGGAAAGCCAAAGTTGGCGCATTAGAAGTGTGTCCAGTGCACAAAGTTGTTAAAGAAAGCAAGTCTGACATCCCCAACCTACAGGAAGAGTTGCCTCCACTCTGGAGGCAAGACAACCTCGAATTCGACTTAGAGCTGGAGGCCTCAATCAAGGGTATATCGCATGAAGTCTCTCAGTAGGTCTTCAAGTTTATTCAAGGCTTAGGGGATTTAATTAGAGAGGAATACGGCCGCCCATACAAGCATTGGAGTGGCTCGCTGACAGTCTGAGCAATTCATGGGGCGTGACACAACCATTGTTTCCCCTTGCACACGCAGTTCTAGTGGAAGCACCACCATAGTGCTTCCCCCGTATGTGCCACCTCAATCGGAGCAACAGGCTAAGAATGACCACATGTGAAACATCAACCCTATTTTTTTAGGAGGAAGTGGTCATCAATCTTGAGGTTAGGGGACAAAAGAGATAATCACCAATTGTTTTTCCAGTGGCACCATAAGTGGTCATGAATAAAGACCAATTGGATGAGATCATCCAAGAATATGTCGGCCCCGCTATGAGGAGGATCACTAGCCCGACACATTGAAAATCATATCCCGTTTGGGTGGATAGGGATTATGAGTATTCTTGGAGATACATGGTCCTAGTGTTCGCTACGTTGTTGGGAGAAGATGATCAATCGACCGTTCACCATAAAATGTGGTGAAGCAAGGACTAATGAGTTTTTGAAACTAAGGTTGTTCGCCAACTCCCTCACGAGAATGACCTACAGAAGGTACATTGATCTGTCACCCAATTATGTGTAGCTTGAAGACAAGTTGCATGCTTAATTCGACCGCACCGAGCCAAAGGTGGCCATGGTTGATTTGGCCATATTGTACCAGATGACTAGGGAGACAGCGGAATATTCTGTTGCACGTTTCAAGAAGTTTGAGAACCGATGTAGGTTGGCATTGCTCGAGATGAAGTATGTGTGTATTGTTCAAAATGGTCTAGGTTTCAAGCTCTGGAATAAGTTCAAGGGAATGAAGTTCAATGACTTGTTCGAGTTGGCAACACGGGCTACGCGGTATGAACAAATACTACGTGAATAATTGGACTGACAAAATGCATCCAAAGGAAACATACTATAGGGATCCCAACACCAAAATATTCATGGTCGAGCCAAACTAGGAGTTGGAGATAAATATGACAGAAATAGTGGCGAGATGGCCATATGTGTGCAAGGCCTGGTTAAGGTTTTCAAAGAGTCAAACAGAGGCTACGCTAAGTGCTGAAAAGGGAGTAGGTGAGGGAAATGACCAAAAATATGAGTTTAAAGTTGCAAAGATTGATCAAATCTTTGACCATTTGTTAGCTTAAGACATTATCAAGTTAGCGTTCGGTCACAAGACTCCATTGGTCATGGAATTGAAGAACAAGACGTACAACAAATGTCACAAATTGTGGAGTCATTCTATTACGAACTGTGTGGTATTTCAAAATGTCATTAAGGACAACTTAACTAAAGACCATTTAATCTTCGGGAATAAGGGGAAGCCGAAGATCGGGGTTGACACATACCCTTTCTAGAAGATAGCCGCCATTAACAACGTGGAAGTGGGCAGTTGAAGACCTCGTAGAAAAAGGTAGACTTGGATGAAGACAGATCTAATGAATTAAGAGGATTCTTGTTCTTTATGTGAGTTGGTTGAGCATTTTGTCAAAGTGTGTCCAACCTTTCCAGCTTGTAAAGAGGTCCTCCATGAGCAGGGGAATGCCTTTAATCAGTCAAGACAACAAAATTCCCCCTACTCTAACATATATAATTAGGGTTAGAGTAGCCACCTGAATTTTAGTTGGAGGAATGACATGTCAACTAAACCTTCCACTTCTATTTC